TAGAATAAATATGATCATGGAGTAGGTGAGATGAGTGCTCCATTTCGGTACTTACAAGCAGGGCTGCTGAAAGGAATTATGAAGCCTGGGGCAAATATTCATGTGAGAGCCTTCTTTCCAGTTGGCCCTCCCCTCACCTTAACACACTCAATCAACTCTTGACTGATAACAAATGCTATGCTACTGAACAATAGTGTATCAGCTGGTGTGGGCCCCTCCCCCCTCCCCAGGCATGCAGCCTAAGACAAATAGTCCCAGGCCTGCTTATAAGTATAATATGATATTAGCAAAGTATGTGTTAAGTATTTCTGAGCTAAGAAAGTTAATTGTAGACTCTTGGATTTTTCTTATTTTTCAAGATATTTGGCATAATATTCTTAATTTTTAAGCAAAAATGATACAATTGAGCAGTATATGCCAGTACATGTATGTGTAATGAAGGCAATTTTCCTCTTTTCATAAAATGCAATACATTGAATGTATTGGGTGTGGGCCTATGCTGAGTAACAGCCTTGAAATGGAGTATGACTTTCTTGCTCACTTGATTATTGTTCCAAATGGGTAGGTAGCAAGAAAGACCCCAGTCTAATGCAAGTTGGGAGGATTGAGGCTCATTCATTTGGTTTTGGAAGGTTTTGCTAAACACTCCCAGGATAAGTAGGAAATCTCAGCTTGGAATCCCCCTTTCTCCACAATGAAATAAGAAAAGAAATGTGGAAAGGGGAAAAGTTGACTCCTCACAATGAGAGAATTCTCATGGACATTCATCTCAAGGGCACAAGGGCAAGCAGCTGTGATAAGCAACATGAAAATAAAAAACCTGCCTTGTGGGCCAATAATTTTCACACTTCTGTATGTCTTCCTAATCATGCCTTGCATGTCCAGTCAAAATTGACTGTTTCAACTGAAATATATTTTACAGGGTAATTGAGGGTCCTTTTTTACTTCAAGTACTTAATTTAGTGCACTGCTTTTAATTCTCTTTGAACAGTCAATAGTGCTGAATGAAATCCAATTTCCAGTATCATGGCAAAGTAAATTCCATAGTTTTTTTATTTTATTTTTTTTAGGCGGTTCCATATTTACTGAACATGGATTTAGCAAGGCTGACCATAAAATCAGGCACCGGGGGGGAGAGAGTGATCATTCTTAATGAAAGCTTTTGTTTTGTTTTCATCCTTCATTCTCTCATTGACATGTTTATCAGCCTCTTGAGAATTCTTACTAAGATCTTTGGCCTATTCAATCGTTCATCATGAATTAGGTTCATTCTGTATTGTAATGTATTCATTTGCATTTACTGTTATGCCCTGTCACATACATCAGTTTCATTTAGACATATTTTATTTCATGATTCAGCCTAGCAGGGAATAAAAGCTTAAAAATTTTTTTAGTCAATAAAAAAAGCAGGAGTGAGGAAGAGAAGGCTAGTGATGAGAAAAACCTCTATTAAGACTGCTGATACTAGCCATTGAGAGCTGGGACAATTTTAGGTGGAGTTTTTGAGGTTCAAACCTCTCCCCAATAGTGACTTTCACCCTCACCCCTGGTGAGGGGTATTTTGTGTTAATCTTCCCTCCAAGGTATACCATACATAGGAGGAGGTCCAGATCCCACCTCCCTCAATACAGCACACTGCCTTCAATAAGCACCCCTTCCTCCTTGATGCTTCTACCCCTGATCTCTTCCCATTTGAAAATCCTGAACACAATTGAAAGAGAGGACTGCGGGGCATTTTCCTTATTTCCATCAAAGGATAATATAGCCACTGACATTAACCCCTCAAGCTGGTATTAAAATTGCTAACCACCTGTGGTGAAGAAAACATTGCAAGTATGGGGTACAGCAAATTTAACCCTAGAACTGTCAATAAAATTGACAGTTGGCAGTTCAAGCATTAAGGAGGTGGAAGTAAATGTCATTGCTAGAAGGAATACTGATGTCAAGAAAAAATGCCTGCACATGTAGGTATACCAATATGTACTAATCATACTAATGGAATTGCATGAAATTGTAAATTACTCTGTGACTGAGTGACTTTGATCTTGTAGTTCCAGCACCATTTGCCTAATGATTGCTCTCACCACATTTGTGAGGACACATATCCATCTAACAGGGTGTGATCACAATGACCTTTGTTGTGTAAATGCTGTGAGTTCCTGCAGTTTCAAAGTGGGTGAATAGATGAAAATGCATGAGTTGAGGCTAACAGAGGCATGATCGATGGTGGGCACAAAATTGCATAATTATGTCTGTCACTGTTTTACCAATTAAAAAATGAAACTTTTTCCCCCATATTCATCAGTATTAGCTGTATAATAGTACTAAAAAGATGTACAGTGGAAGAAAAAAATAATTAAAGTCATATAATCAGAATGACTAAGAGCAAGGAAAGGCCAGATAGTAAGGTTAGGATGCTGGCTATAGTATCCAGCTGGCAGTGGTGTATTTTACAGTGGGGCAGGGGGGGCAGTTGGGGCAACTGCCCCCCTGGCACCCCTGGGACAGAGCTTGGTGCCCCTTTGGAGGTAATAATTTTCTCCCCTGGTATAGCTCAGGTGGGGTTTAGGATCCCCATTATGCTGCCTCCCACCCCCTGACTCTTCAACCAAATTATGTCACTGCCAGCTGGCCAAAAAAAATAAGTATTTCCCCAGGAAGATTCTGTATCCCTGTATTCCTTTCTCTGGTTGAAAAGTGTGTGAATTCCAATCCTATCCATGATGAGTCATTAAAATAAAAAATTTTGAAAGCATATATTCTTATTCATTACTTCACTAAAAAATGCTACTGACACAATGGAAGGGTAGTCATATGTAAAACTAAGAAAAAAATGTATTCCAATATTTTTTTTTTTTATCTGCTTGAAAAATATCTGAAAACATGAATAATTGTAAAATTTGGAGCTTCACCACCACTTCATGTAACATCACTTGAAAATACTGTCCAAGAACCCAAATTGGATAAGTTGATCTTAGTCATGTGATTAGAAAAATCACAAGTAATGGCAGTTACTTGTGATTTTTACTTGTGATGGCTTACTTGTAATGCTTGTAATGGTTGTAATGCTTGTAAATACATTACTTGTAATGGGAATTACTTGGCCAATTAGCCAACCATGGTTTTAATGAAATTTTTTTTTATTTATTTAAGTAATGCATAATTTTTTTTTTTCTAGAGTAAAGAAGACATTTTGATATATTTTCTGATATCGTAAAATTATATTGATTGCATTTTTGGAAATATTCCATACTATTGGCAGAAGCTTCTTCAAAATAATAAGGAATGTAACTGTAATATGCAAATTTTTTATGAAAAACTCAAACTGTAAGTATCTAGTGCCCCAGAGAATGATGAAAATAGTAGTCTTATTCTGTCCTGGTACTCTTTTTGTATGTGCCAAACTTTGCATAAATTAGTGTTGTACAGGGTGTTCTAAAGATGGTGAAGTGGCATTACCAAGATGGTGAAGTGCTTAACTGTGATTATTTTCACTTGCGTTCAGATTTTTATTTAGACGTGAAATATGCATTGAACATGATGGACAATAATTTGAACAATTTCTGTAGCTCCTTATTTTCACTTTCTGCTGGTGGTTGGTTGTAAATAAGTAGTTTTTCCCTTGAACGTGAGCATAATCTCGGTAAAGCGACTTTTAGGACACCCTGTATATCCAATTATATGTATTGTATGAACCCCTGCCTCCCCTTCATTGCTGATGCAGTTGAGAGGGGGCTCATATATGACTGGATGTATGATATTAGATCAAAAAGTATATATTTCAGTGATGTCTTATGTGACTGTATGCACTTTTAGCAAAAACTATGAACTTGAGAAGGAACAAGGGGAGGTAACCCCTTGGAGGTGAACCAAATGTTTTTCATCACATCAAATCCAGAGCATGAGAAAATTATTTCCAAAGAGAGTGAGGCCTAGAGGAGGAATTTTTCAAGTCCAAAACCAAAAAAAAAAGGAGTTACAGCAAAAACAGCTTAATGAAATGAATATGAAATTCTGAAACATGCAAGTGAAAATCAAGCTTAAAAGACAAAAAAACAAAATTCATGCCATACCCATGAAAGGTCCTCAAGTAGCTATTCATTGCTGTGTCTTAGATTTTGTAGTTTGCCCTTGTGTGGTGCGCCATAATTTTTTTAGAAGTTGGCGCGACTTCTAAAAAATATTTGGGGGGTGGGGGGGCAAGTTCCTAATGCCCCTGAAATATCAGTGACAGTATTATTCCAGGATCCATTGGGGTAGCTCAGTATTATGGTAGCAGAGTGACAAGCGCAGGTTGGGGGAGGTGGGCATGGCCCTCCCACCCCATACCCTTATGGGGTGACACAGGGATCTCCCCCCAGTTGCAACTCTAAACAGAAAGGAAAATCATATTTTTCATTTCTTCCATGAAGTAGAATTTTGTTTCCAATTTTTCATGTGCCATACTTTTTTTTTTAATTTGGCCTTTCTTGGGGGGGCATTACCCCCTCAATAATATAGTTTGGGGGGGCACATGCCCCTTTGCCCCCCTGGGTTCGGTACCTATGTGGTGCACCTCAAAACACTCTCCTATGCACAGGGCCTCATTACAGAATTTGCAGTATAGTGGCCTGGGGAAGATAGGCAATGGCAAAGCAATGAGACCCTTCCTTGTTGCTTTGCCATTGCAGCACTTTCTAATGAAATTCTCCAGTGCATGAGAAAATTTTTAGTATTGGGTTCAATTTAATGAAGCCATCTGCCATCTATTGGTGTCTTTTGAAGTAGAATGATGCCTAGAGGTGGTAATAAACTTGAGCATACCATGGTATTCGTGGCATTTTGTGTCAGGAATTTCAAATTGCAAGTGCTTCATATGAAGGGCTTTGTGCCAAAGTGTTAATAGTAACAGGTAGTGCATTCCAAAGGTGTACTGCAGGGTAAATCATTTTAAGGTTTTAGTGTAGTGTGTTTGGATTGGAATGCTAAGGTGTATTTAGTTTATTTTACATTGACCATTGTTTCACAGATGGAATAGATATGACATGTCAAATTTGCTATTGCTGCAATGTCAGTTTTCCATATCAATGCATGAATGCTTCCAGGATAAGCACTGATAATTCCCCAGATGGCCAAGAACTCAAAATCTGGGATTTCCATTGCTGTCAATGAAAATGGTAGGTTCCATCTGAATCTGTATTTATAATCAAACTAATCATGTTTCTTTCTTATTTTTTACTTTAATCCTTTCTTATCTTCTGATTGTATCAGAATCAGCCTTCAAGCACCTTCATTTGATAAAAGGGTGTATGTAGGTATAGGTTATTGACCAGCCAATTGAAAGCATGCCAATTGACCAGTCAATATTGTCAAGTGTGGTCAATTACAGTCAGTAGGGCCAACTTTTTTCTCTTTTTTTTTTTCCTGCACATTTTTTGTTCCATTTGTATGCCATGACTCACAAGTGAGAGACTAGGCATGGGAATTTGACTGGTCAACATTGTCACATCAGCACAGTCACTTCTAACCATTTATGGACCATAATGGTCAATCAGTCCAAAAAAGAGGTTAGGCATTAAAAATGTATAAGTTCATAAATGACCATGTTGACCAGTCAGCATCTCATCACTAAGATAGACATTACCATATAGATTGCATGAATTGGAACATGGAATATTAGTCATGTTTCAGAGGTAAATTCTGCAACTAGGTAATTCCATAAGTACTCTGAAAAATGAGGAATGCAACACAGTTTCCAGAACTAGTTTCATGGTTTCTGGTATTAGCATTTATTCCTGTTCCTGCCAGAAAAATTAGCCTCTGTCTTGCTCAAGGAAGTTGTTCATAGCTTGATCAATTTTTTCAGGCTTTGGCCTAGGCATATAATCCAAGTACTTGTCCCTTGATCATAGACTCTGAGAATGATTTGATACTCTGATGCATACTAATGGCCAAGACCATGATAGACCTTGCATTAAACTGAAATTCTGAAGTTGTAACTTCGATCTTGAACCTTTACTTTCAAAATCATGTGAGCTGGAAGACCTTGAACAGCAGAATATACCTGTATACACTCCATACCACTCAGGTGAGAGGTCATGGTAGTTTGAGCATTTGCCATAATATATTCACACCCAATGGGTGCCACAGTCTATATATTTGGTGGGCTGCATGGATACAACTTTAAAATGGAACTGGCTCTTTGGTGCTGGAGGATCAATGACCACAGTTATGAGCTCTTTAAAAATGTATTAGTTCACTGAATAAAAAAATAGCAGTCAATAATGGTCAATAATGGCCAGTGAAAAGGTGGTCAATTGACCTAGGTGTATGTCATCAAGGCAGAAGCAGTGATAAATGCCACTTCCTTTGCAAAATTTTTAAATGTGTTCATGTAATTATTCATCCTTCGTCCTTATTCATCCTTATTCATCAAAAATGTAATTGTAGAGAAAAATGAGGGTAGCTCAATATCAAATGGATGCAGATATTCTAAAATATTAATTGGCTTCCTTTTTTTTTCAAGATAGTGTATGATTGCAGAGGATAAGAATAATTTTAAATTAGCAGTGGTAACATATCTTTGTCCTTTTGAACCTTTTTGGATATCATACAGGAGGAATACGTTCCTCTATGAGCATTAATTTTTTTTTGCATGCATTTATCATAAGTATTAGGCAACTAGTTTTGCATTGACTGTAAATGATATTAATTTCTAAATGCTCTAGAGACAGGAGACTGGTATCTCATTGTTTTACATATAGCTATAGTTTATTCATGGAGGTTCGTTCCTAAGAATGATACGGTTCAACTTTTTGCCATGTGTTCTTGGGAAATGACAATTACATAAAGATGTCACAACTTGTTATGGCAGGCATCTCCAAGCAATCTATACGCCAGAGAATATGGAGACATCTTGAAGAAAGCAACCTTGCTACCTTTCCTAGACCTGTGTACAACAGGATACCAAACTTTAAAGGATCAAACCAAGCTTGCATGAAAGCAGCTGAGCTGGCCTGTTACCGTGCAGCAAAGGTAGTGAAGGTGAACCCTGACAAACCTCAAGAGCATCTCAGACTTCTTTCTTTGCAGGTTAGTGCACAGCGAGCAGTACAATATTTCAATTCCAATTAAGATCTATGTTTTACTGAAAGTATATGGAAGAAATTCCTAGTTTGTATCACATAGGATCAGTTGATAGCTATATGACTACACTTGGAGTTTATTGTACCCAGGATCAAATCAATAGAAAAAAAACGCCTCTCAGGGTTACAGTAGCTTTGGTGCAATCTGCTGGAGATAATCTTTACTGACTCATGAACCTATTATGACATGCCCATCTTGTTATAGTGTTGATTTCCAAAGGACAGGAAGGTCTTGCTTGTTCCGACACCAAGACTAAGATCGGGACTGTTCAATCGCATCATTCCACCTCAACCAACTACCCATTGGGTGCTTAAGAAATGTGCTACAAGTCAAGGTGTTCGTGAATTCAGTGAGCCAATTGGACTTTTGGATACTGCCAAATACCATGTTGATGTCATCATTATTGGATCTGTTGCAGTCTCCAAGGAGGGTCTGTCTGCATTTCTTCTTCTTTTTTCTATTCCAAGGTTATGGTCTTGATTGCCAGAATCAGAAATGCTTCCCTGATTTGATAAGGTCACCGAATTGGGAAAGGAGAGGGCTTTGCAGACTTAGAGTTTGCTATGATGGCAGCCATGGGAGCTGTAACTCCTGAAACTATGGTGATAACCACTGTTCATGATTGCCAGGTAAAAATTTCGATGAACTCTCTTTCATATCCTTATGATGCAATGTGACAAATGGAAGTGGTGTCTGTTGTGTTTCAGGTTTTTGATGAATTGCCGAGGCATTTGTTTGGAAAGAATGATGTTCCTGTTGACTTCATTGTGACACCTACTGAATCTTATGAAGTTAAGAATCGTCTTCCGAAACCAAGTGGAGTTTATTGGGAGATCCTCCATCCTCAAAAATTCCTGGAGATTCCAATTTTGAGACAATTTCGAGAATGGGATAAGCAGTAAGTAGCTCTGCAGATCCTTTTGCCTAGTGAGGTTCAGTTACTTTTTATGGTACCTTTCAGCAACCAGTACCTATTATTTTTGTTGTCATGCCTGTGGTATTCTTTAGGAAAAAATTTAATAAATGAACAGGAAGTTCCAGAACTAATCCCTGAATTTACCATTTAGCTTCCTATATTGGCATCATATCAAAAAATCCTATAGAACATCCTATAAAGATTGGAGCTTTTTCAAATGAAACACAGCATAAAAATATCTCAAATGCAGTCATATTTATCATTCCAAGGGCTGTGGGCTATGGTGTATATTTAATCGATGTTCCATGACCTTGACATATATACACCTACTTCATAGACTGATTGTCTATGAATATGATTGAGATGCAAGCATTGGAATTCCAGAAGTGATCAACATTCGAGTGCCATGACAGAAGTATGAGATTTATTGTGAGAAAAAAAATTCTGTGATGCAACAAAAGTCTCTTTTTCTTGTCATCACATAACATTTTTTTTTTTTTTAATAACAGAAGATTTTAGGCCAATTCGGAAAGCTCCTTACCGTTTTCCTTCATCTAAGTTAAATGGAGATGGCGGCTACTCCACAACTGCCTGTAATCCAACTCAGTGCACAAAATTAAACCCTCGGTCCCATCCTCCTGTCCGCAATGTGGAGAGACAGGAGCAACAATAAACATGTTCCTGACGTGTCCAGGCCTATCCCGTCTGAAAGATTATCTTCAAAATATATTGTACAAAATTTCCTCTGATCTACGACTTGACGTTGAAGTTGACTTGATCTACGACTTGACGATATTTCATTACTTTCCTAGAAGGGCATCCATTTCAAAAACAACCGTAAAACTAGGGGAATTCCTGTTGGCACTGCAAAAAGCTTCATATACTAATCATACATGTCAACCTTGAAACATATAAACTCTCAACCAGCTAATGACCGTGTTTTTCAGAGAAGGCTGGTGAAGAAATGTTTTATACGTCGAAAGCTTCTGGGGATCGTTTGGGACTACAATGACTAGCTTATCTTAGAACCAGGATCCGTAGATATGTGGAAACGAGGAGTACTTCAGTAGAGAGGGAAGAGGTTTATACAGGAGATTTCTTTTCTCCTGCATTTCAGGCGGAAAGGATAGCACACCAGTAGTTCCCTGGCAAAAATAAGAAGCAGGGATTTTCTTGGCTGAATACGACATCTGAGCTAGAAGGACCCGGTTTCAGCTCGTTAAAAAATTAATGAAATTGATTCGATCAATGTGATACTTGGGTGAAGAATGATGCAATATAGGATTCAGGACACATTTTCAGCTCTATTCAAAAGAAGGAAAGGTGAACTGACCAATGTGATAAATTGCTACTCACATACGACTCTCAACTAGAGAAGGAAATGTGAGGCGACCATAGTGATATCCTGCTTCCTTGAACTCATTCGTATCGCCGTAATATAGGATTTTTCTTGCCAGAAAGTTTCCATCATTCTTAGTTCGACAAGGTTTCAACCATTTAAAATACAAAAAAAAGATGAGCTAACCGTTGTGTGATACATTGATTGGATTGGACTGAATTCCTGAATTCAGTCGTATCGCTAAAAAATATGGGGTTTTATTAAGAAGGATTTGTCATCCGTATTAGATATACGCGGTTTCGGCTCTTTACGAAAGAAGGTAATGTGATGCGATCATGGTGATACACTGTTAAAGAACTATGCATTTTTTTAATTCAATCAAAACTGCGAGGGAAGCGTATTTTATTGCCATGCATCGCCTTCCGTGATAGATGGACTAGGTTTTAGCTCTTAACGATAGAAAAAAATTTTAAGCGACCATTATGGTACATTAGGCGAAGATGATGCTTTCTTCGCTTTATTGGAATCGCCTAAAAATAGGTTTTTTCTTGCCAGGATTCGCCATCGGTGCTGGGTGCACAGGGTATCAGCTGTACAATAAAAGGAAACATGGTTGAAGGGTGATGCCTTCCTGACCTCATTCGTATCGACAGAAAATAGGGTTATTCTTCACCGAGTTCGCCATATATCAGCTCTTCTAAATAAAAGACAATGTTTTCCAGCAGTGTGATTGGGGTTGAGTGACCGTAACGTTACCGGTTTACTGGTAATTACCTCGTTGTCGCTTACCGGTAATACTAATATTACCGGTAAATTACTGATGACGAAAATCTCATCCATATGGCGTTCTACAGTTCGTATGGAAAAATACACTGTATTTTGATTTATGTATTTATTTGTTCTCTTTGTTTCATAGACTGGGCCCCAGCCGAAATCAATGACGACGATGTACGGGCGAAGGCTCGAACGTCTCTGGAGCTTCTCTCCAATCCTTACAAGTGATGCTTTAATTCGGGCAGAGATTTTCTGATTCAAAGCAAATATAATTTTTTTTGTTTCTCGATTTTCTCGATTGAAGCCGAGGGTGAGGTCATGTGCCTTTGTCATATTTATCTCGTATTATCCATGTCGCGAGCCAACATACGATATATACAAGAATGACTGGAGTATATGGTATGACGTCACCCATGGTCTTGAAAAAATGAAAGTAATTAACAACTAAGGAAAGAAAGTAAAAGCTGTGGTTGTTCCGACTCGGACATCACCTTAAGGTGCAGATCTTCACGAAGCAGCCCTGAGCCAAGGCCGTGGGCGCGCCTTGGCTGTTCATATCTGGACGTTTTTTAGCCCACCACTTCCCTTTTTCCCAGTCTTTAAATATTTTCATGGCCGTATCTAGGATTTCATTTTGGGGGGGGGGGATGAGGTCTGGCTCTGTGACTTTTTTTTTTTAAATACTTGTCATTGTAAGTCTTTTTGACATATCCGGATTTTCCTGTAAGTTGCAGTGTTTAATAAGTCAAAAAGCTATTAAAGATAGAAAAGACCAAGTAGACCGTTTTCACCGACGATTAGCGGTATGGCAAGAATTTAAGGAAGATATTTCGGGGGGGGGGTTGAACCCCATGAACCCCCCCCCCCCCCCCCCCCCCCCCCCCCNGAGATTGGGGGGGGGGGGTTGCACCCCATAACCCCCCCCCCCCCCCCCCCCCTTAAATACGGCCTTGGTTTTCTTTGTTCCGGACAAGTGGAACAGAGACTCATAGGTTCGATAATGTTACTGATGACTAGGTGGTACAGTCTAATTCCTCTCAGAAATTCATACCGTGCAGGAACCTGCCATTTATCATTTATGTGAAATCGTGCATGTGCATCGTGCAAATTCATGACTTCCACGTGACTCGCAAACTACGACCGCAACTGCATCAGTGCTGCGGGTGGTGTGCTCATGTGCTTCTTACGGTGGATAGCCTGAAGTTCCAGTTTAGCTAGGCTGAAGCAGTCTTATATTTAGTTCTAGCGTTTGGCATAGAGTAAGCATCAGCTGGCAAGTATTCAGGCTTTGATCCAGATATTGCTATCGTTAAAGCCCATGCTCATTCCTGAGCCTAATCATTGGTTAGGCCTAAGAATAGAGGATAAGCAATGTGAAAGTGAAGTACCCTCACTGAAATAATTGAGATTAGATTAGAATATTCCGCTGTTGCCAATACAGAAACTTTCATACCATGAAATTTTAAATTTAAGCTTATTCCATATAAGCCCATCAGTGGTACCTATCGATCCAGATGTTTGCATTTCGGTATTCATAGCAGAGGTGAGTTAAGGGTGTTAAGAAAGTTGTGTCCCATCGCAATATGCCACAGCAAAAATTAAAAAATCAGGATTTTTTTTGTACTCAACAAAAAGGACAGTTAACTGATTTAGAATCACTTCATAGTTTTCAATATAGTCGCCCTTGGCACAGATGACAAGGTTCAGACGACCCATGAAAGCATTGACTGATTTTCGAAAGACTTCCTGTGGAATTCTCCCTTCACTCGCGATTAAGGGATAGCTTGAGAGAATCCAAAGAACGGCGTTTTGTAGCTCATACTTTGCTCTCCAAGATGGACCAAATTGAAAAATCGAAATCTGATTTTTTTCAAGCCACTCGGCGTCAAGGGGCGGCTTCTGTAATGGTCTGGGCCGGGAAACGAGCCACTCCGCTCGTTTTCGTGCCTGAGAAGATGAAGGTCAACGCTGAAGTATACCGGAAAAGCATCCTTCCAGGATGCTTTTCCAACTGCCTGGTTCCGTGGGCCACGAAATATTTCGATTGAGGCAGCTAGGTCTTCTAGTAGGACTCAGAGCCAGCTTGTGCTACAAAGCACCGTTCTTTGAATTCTCTCAAGCTATCCCTGAACTGAGAATCGGAGCGAATTCCACAGGAAGTCTTGCGAAAATCAGTCAATGCTTTCATGGGTCGTCTGAATCTTGTTATCCATGCCAAGGACGGCTATATTTAAAGCTATTAAGTGGTTCTAAATCATTTTACTGTCCTTGTTATTGTGTATTTAAAAATTTCCTGATTTTCACATTTTTGCATATTGCGATGGGACATAACTTTCCTAACACCCTGTATAGGGCTGTCAGAATAGGTCGATGCATTGATATCGATGGTTGCCAAGCAAGATTCTGACAATGCTTGAACTTGTGAGCGGCCTGAATCAATTATTGAATTGCATTGCGATTGGTTAGGGGAATTGAACGTAGAGCTTCACAGTGTGCCTCAAACTTCATCAATTCATCCAAGTTTTCTTGAAGGCCTAATTCCTGCACCAATTAAAATTTTCATTACTTTGCATACAATGCACCATTTAATTTTTTCAAAAGCAGCAAGCTACTTTAAATAATGAAGCACCTTTAAACACCACATCATTCATGATGCATGCAACTAACAGTTGGACTATTTCCAGTTTTAATAAAAGGATTAAAGGTGATTCTGCTTCGACTGCTACCAAATTTCTGGTTCTTCTTCAGTAATTTCTTCAGTAAGAGTCAGGTTTCGACATCTATGGCCTATCATTTATAGAAAAATTATTCAGAAAAAACGCTCTACCGTTTTCTACGTGAGAAACAGTTTCATGAATGCAAAAAAAGGTTCA